TGTGTGACCATCACCACCATCTAATCCCAGTATATTTCTTCACTTTCCAAAGTAACCTCATCCCTTTCCCAGTCAGTCCCTGTTCTCATCTCCCCCAGCCCCGAGTGACCACKGATCTACTTTTGCCTCTATAGATTGACCTGTTYTGGATAGTTCATATAAATGGAATAGCACTATACAATAAGGGTCCTTTTGTTTAGCACATATTTTCAAAGTTCCACCATGTTGTGAATTAGTACWTCATTCCTTTTTATGGCTGAGTATTAGTACTAATCCCCATGATGAGGAGATGCCACATTTGTTTACTCATTCCTCAGTTCACAGATGCTTGGATTGTTCTGTGTGTCTGCTGGCTATGAGGGAGCAAGTTACTATGAGCATTCATGTCATTTTTCTTTGAACTTCTGTCTTCTGTTCCCTCATGCAGACAGACACCTAGGAATGGAACTGCTGAGTCATAAGGTGAACGTATGCTAACTTTTCTGAGCAACTTTTCTAGCCTGTTTTCGAAGTGCCAGCTCTCTGTGAGAGTTCCAGTTTCTCTCCTGCTTTGWAGAGCAAAGAAGTTTAATCCACATTTGTTACTGTCTGTCTTTTTTATTATAGCAACCTGGATGTGCTTTCATTTCCCTAATGACAAATGATGTTGAACATGATTTCATGCCTGTATTGGACTCCTTCATATCTTCTTTGGATAAATGTTCATTCAAATCCCTTGCCCTTTTCCAAGTAAGCTTGTCTTTTTATTGTTGAGTTGTGGGAGTTTTTGTATATGCTGAATACTAGATTTTTAATTTGGTCTGCAATTATTTTCTCCTGTTCCATGATGACTTTTCCATTTCTATGCACAAGAGAGATCAGTCTGTGTTCTTTTTCCATTTTTTTTTTTAACATCTTTGGTTTTGATATTGGGGTAAGAGTGCCCTCATAGAATGAGTTGGGAAGTGTCATGTTCATTTTCTTATTTTGAAAAGAATTTACAAAGTACTGGTTATAASTTCTTCAAAGAAGGCTTCTGTTTGAGGGATTTTCTTTATTCACAATCAAGTTCCCTGTTCTACAAACTTCTGCTGACTGAGGTGTTGTATGGAGAAATCTGTGTTCAAAGTCTCAAGAGATTTAACAAATGACACTAGAATACATTGTGCAAGGTCTATCCAATCTGTGTTCAAAATGTGAGATGTACTGAGACTGATGAAGATAAGAGGCGACTCCATACAGGCTAAGTGGCCTTCTTCCCCAGGGTCTCCTCCTGGCATGCCAAAGAAAGTGCCACTCACTGCAGAAGTCTCACGCTGGCTGTGGTGATAGCCATGGCACTTAAGGAAGTCACATAGGCACTTGAAGTCCCTCTCCATTTGGAAGACAGGGACTAGCATGCTGTTGTAGGAGAATTAGAGATAAGCCCCTACCAGTGCTCAGCACCAGCCGGGCACACAGGGGGTTCCAAGCCTGGAGCTTGCTGTTGGTGAGCCTCAATGGCAGGAACAGAGAGGAAGTGGAAATGACATACACAAAGGCTCCCTGGCCATTCTGAGGGTCACCTGAGAGGGACTGAGTCTACAAATCCTCCTGCCAGGACCCCCACTCACTCCTCAGCTCGGTTTTGATTCAGCCTGCATTTCTCCATCAAAACAGCTCATCTCTAAGGTTCCTAAGACCCAAGATCACCTGACCTCTGTGTGGCTAAAGTCAATGCAACTTTCTCGGTCCTGTTGCCACTAGACCTCTTGGCTTTTCTTGACTCCTTTGGTTACTTCCTTTTTGAAACTCTCTCTTTTCTTGGCCTCTGTGTTATCAGCATCTTCTGACTTGTACAGACTGTTCCTTCTTGGTCTAGTACACTTACCCTCATCCACCCAAATGTTAAATATTAGCTCCTGCACCAATGCACCAGAATGGAGCTTGTACAGCATGGAAAATGAAGAGGAGAGAGAACTGATGAAGAAAATCATGAAGTCTGTTGCACTCCCAGAGCCCCAAGGGTCCTTACAGGGCCAGCTTCATGGACCTGCGACATGTAGTCAGGCAGGTCCCTGGCTGAGAAGGGCCTCCTGCCTGCTTGAATGCTCTGTTCTCAGTGTGTGGAAATTCTTACTAATGTTACCCTTGAACCTGTTTCGTAAGTTCAATTCAGTGGGAAATTGGAGAGGCTCCTGACAGAGGCAACCTCCCAGGGGGCAGCATGTGACACTGGGACGCTGGCTGCAGCCTGCCTGGGCAGGCTTGGGCTATGGGCACTGTGAACAGCAGGCACAAGACAGCAGCCCCACAGGCAGGCCAGTGCCCTGGACAGTCCAGAGCGCAGGAGAAGCAGAGGAGTGGAGCCAGCTGGGACCTGAAGCTGTGGCAGCAGGGATCCCAGCCCAGGAGCTGCTGGTGCTTGGGAGTAAATCTCAGCAGGAAAGTGTGGACTCTCCAGGTTCAAAACCTGCCCAGCTTTGCAGGACAAATATCCACAGTCTTAAAAATAAGGCTTGTATTTCAATATTATCATGTTGGTGGAAAATAATACTATTATCACATGAAGCTTTGGATAAGCCAAGTATGAATGATTTAGATCATTTTACAATTGATTTTTCCTTATGACAAAACAACAGAATGAATAAACAGATGTTTTGAAATACATACAAATCACGAAATTTCTTGTGCAATCTCCATAAGATACAAATGCTGGAGAAAAATATTGAAATGTCATTGTATAAATTTACATTTAAAATTAAATTCAGAACTGATTTTTATGAAGAGTTAAATCTTTTTCAAAAAAAAAAAAACAAACAGGAATCATCTACTCTGGAAGTACTAAAATTATAAAATTTATCAGAAATGTATCTCAAGATTGTCATGGCATATAAAATATTCTTAACAGCTCCAGTAACAATGGCATCAACAAAAAAGATAAAAAATATGTTATCAAAAATCATTTTCAATCTTATAACTGCCACGAGCCATTGATACTTTCAAAAACGGTAGATTGAAAATGAAGTTTCTAATTCAAGGCCTTGTTACGGGCAATGATTATTCTGGATAGGACCCAAAACACACAGGAAACAAAAGCAAAAATTGACAAATAAGATGGCATCAAACTGAAAAAAATAATTCCTGCACAGGAAAGGAAACAATCAACAGCCAAAGATGCAACCTACAGAATGGGAGAAAATATTTGCAGTTCTCTGACAGAGACTTAACATCCAGAATATAAAAAGAACTTTAAAAACTTTAAAAAACTAAGCAATCCAATTTTGAAATGTGCAGATGACCTRAATAGCCACTTTTCAAAAGGACAATTCGGGTGCAGTGGCACATGCCTGTAATCCCAGCGGCTTGGGGAGGCTGAGACAGGAGAATTGTGAGTTCCAAGCCAGCCTCAGCAACTGTGAGGAGGCACKAAGCAACTCAGTTGAGACCCTATCTTCAAATAAACTACAAAATAGGGCTGGGGATGTGGCTCAGTACAATTCCTGGTACCAAAAACAAACAAACAAACAAAAAAGAATAGTTTATGGGGCTGGGGTTGTGGCTTTGGGGTAGAGTGCTTGCCTAGCATGCAAGACGCACTGSGTTCAATCCTCAGCACCACATAAACATAAAATATATTGTGTCCCACCTAAAATTTTAAAAATAAATATTAAAAAAGACAGATCAAAAGGAGAAATACAAATGGTCAACAAATATATGAAAATATGCTCAATATTGTTAGTCATMGGGGAAATGCAAATCAAAACCACACTGAGACAACACCACACCCCAGTTCAATGGCTATTATTTTAAAAAAAATAGCAAATGCTAGCAAGGGTGTGAAGAAAAGCTCTTAAACATTGGTAGTGGGGATGTCGATTAGTACAGCCTCATGGAGAAGAACATGGAGATTCCTSAAAAACTACAGACCCACCCTATGATCCAGCTATCTCACTTCTTGGTGTATATTCAGAGGAAATGTAGTCAGCATGCAAAGGGACACCTGCATGGCCATGTTATTGCAGCCCCATTCACAACTGCTAAGATGCAGAATTGGCCTAGGAATCCTTGTCCATCAACAGACAAAGGACAAAGAAATGTGGTACATATACACAATGGAGTAGTATTCAGCCATAAAGAAGAATGAAATCCCACCCTTTGCAGCAAATGGATGGTCATCATGTTAAGGGAAGTAAGCCATACACAGAAAGATAGGTACTACGTGTTCTCTTATATATGGAAGCTAAAAACGTCAACTTTTCTAAAAGTAGAATAGTGATTACCAGAGGTTGGGAAGGTGTGTGTGGGCAAGGGAGGGTGCTGGATTTGACCAATGCACTCTCCCTATGTTAGAAATATCACATTGAACCTCATTAATATGTACAATTAATGGGTGTTAATTWAAAAATTTTTAAATGAAACAACCCCTAATATTCATGGCCTGCTGGATGCTAACCTATTTTATATTCAGCTCAACAATCTCATCCTAATAACTATCCTTGCTTCTTAAATGCTGTGAGTGTATATGTGTGAGAGTGTGTATGAGAGTGTGTGTGAGTGTGTGTATGTGTGAGTGTATATGTTTGAGTGTGGGTGTGGGTGTGTGTGAGTGTAAGTGTGGGTGTGTGTGAGTGTGTGAGAGTGTGTATGAGAGTGTGTGTGTTTGTGTGAGTGAGTGTGAGTGTGTGTGAGTATGCATGAATGTGTGTGAGTGTGTGTTACTGGGGATTGGACCCAAAGGCACTTCACTGCTGGACTACATACCCAGCCCTTTTATATTTTTAATTTTGAGTAGGATATTGCCAAGTTGCTCAGGCTGGACTTGAACTTTCAATCCTTCTGGACTACAGGAGTGCGCCCCTGAGCTTGGCTCTTGAGTGCACTTTGACCTGCTGATGACATCTTACTTCTTCCTTCAGTTGTTAAGGAATTCAGTAAGATGGTCAACACATGACCTCATATTTGTTGAGCGTCAAGTTGTCCGTTTGAAAATGTATAAATTAACATGACAACTGTCTCTGCCTCCGTTTCTGTGTCTGCAGGATGGAGATGCAATGYCTACCTTGGAGAGTGTGCGATGCTCTGCAGAGCCTGTCGCTCCTGAGCTTTAGAGGTGAGGAGCTTTCTAATCCTTGTGGGCTCTGTGTGCGGTTGGTTTGGGAGTCTTGTTTTATTTTGGTTGTGAGGGGACTCGTGCATGCTAAGCCAGTGTGTCACCTCTCAGCCACATCACAGCCCTGAGTGTGGGCTCCTAAGGGGGGAKGGGGGCTGCTGGAATCAGGGACAGGGTCCAGTCCTCACCATCAGCCTCAGCTCCTTCCCAAGCACCACTTGCCTAAACACTGGATTTTACAAACTCGCCTGAAGTCTTTTCTGYTTCTATGATCACATTTAGAAGCTCATTTGTTGACCTTCTTCTAATTATATACCTCACACCTCATGGAAATAATGTGCAGCAGGAACGACACGTGAGTGGCAGAGCTGGGTGACCTTCGTACTGGCAGCTTCCAGGGCCTGCTGCAGGAGGGCTCAGGCAGGCACAGAGTTCCAAAGCCTGGAATACTGTCCACTAAGTCCATTTAAACCGAAAGCTAAAGAAGGTTTTTCTTAGAAATGAGGCATTAGCACCTCCATAATTAAAAGGTAAGTTTTTCAAGATGTAAAGGCTGACATCAAGAGTGACAGGGTCAATTCCAGGTGTGATGAAAAAATGCATTCAGCTCTGGCCACACCTGCAAACTGCTTCYTTAGTGCTCTCATGGAGAGCTCTCCAAACGAGAGAATCCCCGCCTGTTTGAATTTCTAGTGTTCCCCTTTGGATAACAAATCAATACATCCCTCCCGACCCTGGCACCCAAATAAAAAGAGCCCTACACCAACACCRCAAAGCTAGTACCCCTCAAGTTGAGAAGCCAGGCCAATTCTCTCTACATGGGGGTGGGTTACTGTTGCTGGGACTCCAGTGAGCCCCCAAGACCCCCCAATTTTTGAAGCTACATTCAGGAGAGTAACACCTCTTCCCACACCCATTCCATGTAGTCTTTGAGAAATGTATGAATATAATGTTGAACAGCAGAAAAATATTCAACCAATAGTTAAATAATGATACTTTGTGAATAACTCAGAACTCTTGAATAAATTATTCTCACTTCTAAATTGTCGCTATGAAAGACAAATTGAACAAAAAACTCAAGGGAGTAAACAATCACCAGGCCTGAGGAGCAGAGGTACACCTGKCCCACGCATGTGCTCCTGTACAGGACTGCATTCCCCCAGCCCTTTGCAMGGGCACCAGTTCCCAGGACCTGCCCTCCCCTTGCTGGACCACAGGGCTCCTGCCGGAAGGCAGACTTTGTTTGGCCCAGCACAGAGCTCTCTTGGGAGGGGCACCAGGGTTCCCTCGGGCCTCTGAAGTCACACCATCAGGACACACCACGGGAGCTGGGAGAGTCCTCCAGGGCAGTTCTGTCCCCATGCCTAAACCATCTCATCTGCATTCTGGACCCTGGAACTTGTAACCGGAAAAACAAAACAAAACATTTCATTCCATTACTAAGATTATAACTTAAAAATTTATAGTGTCATCTTYACTGCATACTAAATTTTTTTATACATCTGAACCCATTTTCCTAASACTTTAAAAGGGAATATTTAAGCATATAGCAACGATGATATAATTTCACATAATTACATAGTGTTCATTAGTGCAACTCTCTGGCCCACTATCAGTCCATYTTATGTTCTGATTTTTCCGATCTTCTGATTTATTTCAGGATAAATTGCAGGTAACAACACATTTCTCTTCAAATACTTTAGTATACCTACCACTAGACTAAAGTTTCAGCTTTTTTATGCATTTTTCTTCCAAGATAAACTTTACATGCAATGAAATACATAAATCAGGCCTGAGCTTTCCCTGAGTTTCAGCAACMCACATAACACCTCTGTGAGCTGCGCTCCTATCAAGACGTAAAACCAAATTCACTTCTTTTTGGCTTGCTAGCTTTCAACCAATGAATGATCTGCCTGTTCCTGCCCTAGTCACAGTGCATTTTAGATAACCCAGCTTTATAATATGTTTTAAAGTCTGCATGTCTTGCTGCCTTTCATTGCTTTTATTTTCAGAATTTATTTTAGCTATTCTGAAATACTCAATTTTCCTTTTGAAATTTCAAACAACTTTACTTAATACCAAAAATAACTAAATAAAGATTTCTGTCATTTTTTTTTTTCTTGACTGGCTGTGGATAAAGGGACTGGTCTAGAGGTGGGGGGAGGTGGTGATCTTCAGTCTGTCTCCCAGGAACAGTGCATCCTTTCCATTTAGACAAGACTTCGTCTGCATTCCGGGTCACATGCTAGAACCTTCTTCATGGAACTTTGCACATTTTTTAATTATGCCCCCCCCCAGTTAAAATATTTTGTATGTTTTTGTAGTTATGTTTTCACTCACATACTTTTTCTRTGAATTTTGCATACAGACAACTTGTGAAATTTGCTAATGGTCAGTGGAAATTTTTCCATTGATTTGCTTGGGTTGTGGCATATGCAATCATTATCTATAGACGGTAATTTTACCTCCTTTTGTCTGATCCCCCCTCCTGTTTACAATCACTTCAGCTAATGTTCCCAGAAGAACACTTTCATTAAGAAACCATTAATCACTCTCTTCCATAGTCAATGATCTCTCGATACCATAAATGGCCTTTCTCTTCTGGGAATGGTTTTAGCAATTTATCTTTTCCTAATAAATTATTCCATTTCATCTCAGTATTAATTTGAACTAAAGTCAATTATTTCCATTCCTTCAATATCTGTGGTCATTTCCTCATTTTCATTTTTATTATTTTATGTAATTGTGCTTTTCTCCTTTTAACTAGTTTTMCAAGGAACCAGCTCTTGAATTTACTCTTTAGTTTTATAGTTTTGTTGTTTGTATTTCATCAGTTTTTGCTTTTATTATTATCAGTTATTTCATTTGATTTTTCTTAAGCTTGTTCTTTGTCTACATTTTTAAATTGGTCCTTGATTCATTTATTTTCATTTTTCTTGCTTATCCATGCAAATATTTAAGGTTATGTTACCTGTGAACACAGTGTTAGTCGTAGCCCATAGGTTTGGACATGTAATGTTTTAATTAGTAATATTTTCTGGATATTTTGACATTTGATTTTTATTTTCTCTTTGACCAAATAATTATTTGAATTTCCATTTAATATTTTCTTTGAACAAACCACACAGAGAAACTTCTTATAGATCGAAGGGTTATCCCTATTATATGCATATGTATCTGTTCAGGGAGTTTTGTGTCCCACATTAGGGCATAGTGTATAAAGTATTTTTATTTAATGTGTGCACATGTATGTATGTGTATATATTTAAATGCCTGTATACAAATGTACTAATATGTACATAGTAACTCCTATGTGCTAGCATTGTATTTGTGACACAAATACGTTGGTTGACCTATTCCTTAATCATCCTATTTTATAGCAGAAGACCAAGTCTCAGACACAATAAGCAAGCGGTGGATCTCAGATTCAAAACAGTRCAACAGAGATGCCCGCCAGCTATGCCAATTCTGAAGCCTACTCTCCTTCCACCTCCCAAGACTGTATCACCAGAACCACTAGAGAGAACAAAGTACAGAGAGTATACAGCTGTCCTACAATAAGCATCCAGGACCTCCAGACCCACAAATCCCAGGYTCCTCACATGCAAAATGGCCTCACACACCCTTCTGGGTACTCTAAGTCATCTCCAGTTTGCCTATACTGTTTAAGTCCACATCAGTGATGTGTGAACAGTTGTTCTGCTGTGTTTTTTAAATGATAATAACAAGGAAAACATCTGCACATGCTCAGTACCATTCTGTAAAGGATTTTCAACCCACAGTTGGTTGGCAGTATAGGAAATGTATATGAAATACACACAAAACACACTCCCGTGAGCATGAGTAACATAGGACATTCAAGGTTCATAATGAGGAATGCAGGTGTTATTTCACATTCACAAAAATACAGTGTGTTTTACAGATGGCAGATGTAGAAAGCGTGCCAGGAGAAGGATCGTCCTGCTTCAGGATTCTTCCAGATGCTAAGGTATTCTTCTGAGAGTTCCTTTCCCTGTTCCACTTTCACCATCTGGATGTTCCCCTTCATACCTAACTGAATTACCTCATGCTGTTTTGGGCCCTCTCTTTAGGAGTCGCTAGAGATGAAGAACAGGTAGTCCTTATTTTCGGTGTTAACCCTTCAAAAGCTTGAGCCTTCCATAGTAATCTTGTTGCTGAGATAAATAATCCCAATTCCTAAATACTGCCCCCTTTTTCCCAAAACAGTTTCCTAAAGTGTGCTTCTTTCCACAAGGCACATGCTGCCCACTTCCTTCTGAAGTACGCCCACTGCCAGGGCCCGAGGATGTTGCCCTCCAGATGACAATGGCTGTGGTGTGATTGYGGTAGCCACAAGTCTGTGGTTGTTTTAAGGCTCGTAACCTAAGTGATAAGATTCTGGRCATTWTKTTTTCTTCAAACCAAATCAAAACTGTCTAAGTTCAGGGGAAAAAATAGGAGAAAAGTGTTAAGCACCAAAGGAATTTGGGAGATGTTTGGTGTTTTGTGTGATGTGCATTGATTGTTACTAAAAGTTTTAGGAAAAACTCCTTTGATAGCATAGAAAGGAAACAAAAGGAGCACCTAGGGTCTGGAATAACAGRGGATATATTTCTATAAGGAAAAGAAAGAGTGCATCCAAAGCTCTTCCTGCTTCAGAGCCACAGAATGATTTCCAGGGTGTGGGCTTCTCTAGAAATCAGAGGTCACAGCAGAAATCTAATAACATGGTAATGTCAGAAACAAAAAGGAGCAGGGATTTAATGGGACTGAGTTACTTCACAAGCCCAGGGTCATAATTATGAAAGTGAGTGTCATAAAGAATAGAATCAGGGATGGGGATGTGGCTYAAGYGGTAGCGCGCTCGCCTGGCATGCGTGCGGCCCGGGTTTGATCCTCAGCACCACATACAAACAAAGATGTTGTGTCCGCCGAAAACTAAAAAATAAATATTAAAAATTCTCTCTCTCTCTCTCTCTCTCTCTCTCTCTCTCTTAAAAAAAAAAAAAGAATAGAATCATCAGGGCCCACAGTAAAATGCTCAAAAGAATGAATTAATTCTACAAGGTATCATGAACAAATATTAGAGAGAAATAACAATCATCAAGAGCTTTCCTAGAGCATTGACTCATTTAAATTTCATAGTATCCTATCAAATAGGGGTTCTTATCTCAATTCTGTCAATAAGAMAACTGAGGCAAAGGAGATTAAATTAAATTCCAAAAGGTACATGGCAGATTTGGAATCCTAAACCAGATAGTCTAACCCAAGGGTCTTTGAATTTTTTAATCACTGTTCTTCTAATATCAGAAGATGATTTAACCAAGGACTGAATCCACCAATTCAACACAAGTAACCATTCCTCCAGGTACAGAGAGAAGAGTTTTAATCTACAACATTCTTTTGTGCTCCAGTCATAGGTATGACTAGGAGAGACGATGCCTGTGGGTAGATTTTAAATAGGATCTTCTATCAGATATACATGGCTTGCTCAGATCGGAATGTTCTCTAAGCCATTTCTGCTGGAACGCACTTGGGTTTAATACCTTCCAACGACGGTGTTTCCAGTTTGAACTTAGAGTCACTCAGTGTCTCCTTCCTTTCATAGAATTTGTTTTATTATCTAGGTTGGCATCTGYCTGCACCACTGTATTGCAAAGTCCTGAAAAAGCAACGACTTGGCCTCCATTGTCTTTTGTGTGACATCCAGCCCTCTCTCTGTAACGATGTTCCCTGCCGAGGGCCATGGAGGGTCCACCCAGGCAAATGCTCACCCGGGACACGGGTCTGGTGAGGAAGACCAGATACCAGGGGTAGAGACCAGAGGATGCCAATGTTGAAGCCAGATAAATAGTCTGACCTGTAGTGCCTGGTCGGGAGGTTGAGATGGAAACGTGGGAAGGAATGGAGCAGGGAGAACCTCAGCCGTAGTGGAAGTGGGTTAAGGCCCAGGAGAGGCAAAGCAGAACCAGACATTTATACTCCACAGGCAAACACTTATCTTACAACTCCCTCAATAGAAACTTCAAATGCTGCCAGTCTCACTCTAGTGGTTACCATCTTGTCTATGTACAAGTATTCATTAATTGTTTTAGGATTTTTTTTTTCGTATTTCAAAAAAAAAAAAATGAGCAGAAAATGGAAAACTGCAGTGTACTTATTACAGGAACAAAAAAACACCAGTCTTTTTAAATTGTTGCACAGAGCCGCTCCATAGGCCAGAAGTGGTGACTTTAGCTCAGCCTACATTTTGCTGAACTCAAGCTGCTCAAGCTAGGGTCCAGTTTTGAAAAGTAAAAACAAAGTTTAAAAACATAAAAATTGCTGCAACAACATCTTCAGAATATGTTAGTAAAAATAACAGTAATTAAAATTTTAATCTGCTTAGTTCTCTTGTATAACAAATTTCCTTAGAGCATGTAAATGTCTTCGACTTTCAGATATTTGAATTTCAAAGGTTTTCCAGAGATTTATTACATAAAATAAAAGTAGGGGCTCAGTGTAAAACTTTACAAAACCTGAAATATCACTGTATTAGGCCAGTGGTCCTCAACCAGGGAAAATTTTGCCCCAAGGAAGATAGTAGGAGGTCTAGTGGCATCTTTACTTGATGACTGCTACGTCCRATGACCATGCTCAGCCCTAGGGCTTCACGATCTTCCACTGGGTGACACATACCTGTACTCCCAGCAGCTCAGGAGGCTGAGGCAGGAGGATGCAACTTCAAATCCAGCCTCAGCAACTTAGTGAGACCCTAAATAAACAATAAAAAGGGCTGGAGATGTGGCTCAGAGGTTAAATGTCCTAGGTTCAATCCCCGATGCCAAGATAGATAGATAGATAGATAGATAGATAGATGTAAGGCTCTTCTTACCTTGCAAACATAAATATTTTTAAAAAGAAAAAGATCTTCTACTAGTTCTCCCTATAAGGCAAAGCAAGAAAAGGCCCCTTCGGAGAAGTTCCTGGGGACATTGGGCTTTCCCTGAAGTGGCACGGATCATTTCTTCTCACCTTTCATTGGCCGATGTCAGTATCTAGGCCAAGGAGGGTCACGACATGTAATCTAGCTGTGTATCCAAAAAGTGGGGACACTTAATGATGTCCTTCCTCCCAGCTCTGCCCCCACGTCTTGTCTCTGTGTYTGACAAAACATTCCACCCATGGATGCTTAATAACAATTAGTTAATAATATTAATGACCCAAAGAAACTGGTATTAAAATAAGACAATATTTCCTTTTTTAAAAAAAATAAGAACTAGAAGAATCAAAAATTAATAATCAATATGGGAATTTGAGGTCATCTATAAAATTTATTTGGGTGTGCTTCACAAGAATGAAATTTAATAGTTGTATAACTAGATTTTGTGAGCCCTATTCCTAAAGCACAGGGGGTATGTATTACTTCATGTTTATTTCATACTTTATATTTTAGTTAACATAACCTATCTTTCTTTTCTAATTCAGTGTTTCAGTCTTCATGAATTTTTGAGTTGCTTGAATTTTTAAGTAAAAATCTTGTGGCATTTTTWCACAAAGAACAAAATCATTTTACAAAATTGATGTGAGATCCAGTAGTAGTTTTCTATAAACATTCTTATCCACAAGAAATGCAAAACAGCACCCATGATCAGCAGCATAATGTCAGTAGTTTGACCTTTTGATATCTTTGAAGCTTCTTTTAGAAAAAAAAGGCAGGGAGGGTTAACTTATTACACCAAATCCCAAATGTCAGCACTCCAGAATCTTCCAGGCCCAAATGAATGTCTATTTCCAAAAGGGAGAGGTCTAAGCCTATAACACCAACAGAAGGTAAGTCAGATGACCAGGCCACCATCATGCCATCCACCTGTGCTGACATCATTCTGAAATTTACACCTGGCTTTAGGTTAGCGATGGATGGCATATTGATCAAATATAGCCTGTTCAACACCATCAATTGTCTACTTCCCCTTCATTCTTTTCTGGCTGCCAAAGTTCCTCTCACTAGTGGATWACGTATGATACGCTAAGGAGTCCATCAATAGTAGAGAACAAGGTGTAGATAGAATGTGGTCATGATGAAATGGCTACATTCCATTGCAGAGATGATCAAAATACAGGGTGCCTCATAAATATTTCTGACTCATTTGCTTAGAGGGATGGAGGTATTTATAGTTTGGAAATGTATGACAGTTAAAAAAAAAAGCATTACAGTTTATTCTGGTCTATCAAGTAGTCTTTTGTTAAAGTAGTTTTATGGGTAGGTTTAGAACATTAGTAATGCCATAAATGCCATCCAGCCCGTCCRGGTTGTTTGGGGCAGAACTGTTTCTCAATGAGCTAACTGCCTCTCACCAAAGATACTGAGTTCTATTCAGAGGTCCATATGTGACCTTGGTCCTTGTCTTTTTGAGATGAATAATGATAGTAATGGTAATGGGAGGAGCTTCCTTTATTTAAAGAATTTCAATGAAAGGATGAAATTTTAAAAATTCTCTAAGCAAAACTTTTTGGTTTGATCAAGGAACTGAATCTATCTCGATTAGCAGGAGAATCACATTGCATCTCATGGAAATACCAGGGGAGACCCGTAGAGATGTTTTTCTATCAGAATCTCTTTGGTAGAAAGTTTACAACATACTCTTTAAAAATTGTATGGCCACTCTGAAACGTGGAACTCTATCAAGCACATCTGTTTTGCGTCCAAATTAGGCTGGAAACTCCTTGATACAAGACATGGCTTTGGAACCAAGTGGCTTGGATCTCAGTAATGGTTCTGTCCCTCATCAGCTTTGTGGCCCTGGGCAAGTCACATAGCCATCCTGGGCATCCTCTCCTGCTCTGTAGAATGAGGATAACAAAAATACCTCCTTTGTGAAGATTAAGTAAGTATTACAAATAATGTTCTGCACATTATAATCCCCTGCAAGTGTTGGCTCCTGCTGTGACCATTGTCCCTCTGTCTGGTCCACACAAGGGTCAGCAAAATATTGCACCATAAGAGGCAGTTGGCATGTAATTATTGAATAAATTGGCCATCGTGTATTTTTATACCGTTGTAGAGACATGTAGAAATATGGGCAGGATCAGAAAGAAATGTGTGTCCAGTTCATTAGAAATAAAACACTTGCTAAGTAATTAAACCTTAATTTTCTCTTATGTAAATGGTTCCAAGAATATTCTTAGAAGATTGTTACATATTTATAGCCTTCTAAGTAATCTGTACTTCATAAAGCACAATAGGAACCAGGTGAGACTTTTTTGCTCACAAAAAACAAAAGCAGTTTAGGCAAGAGAAGTTTTACCTATTGGCACTCACGGTCACTCTGAGGTCAGTCACACAAATGCTTTGGAAGCTGGAGAAAACTGAAGGAGTGAGGCAGGGGCTCCCAAGAGCAGCTGATTTTGAATCTCAATCTGTCAATAAAAAGAGTCATATGACTTAAAAAAATCTTTGCAAGAATTAGGAGCAACACAGGATGAGCAGTCRAAAAAACATCAGGCATTCAGTAAATGGCAGGTCTTAATAATCTGTGAGCAATGACACTTGAAGAATGACAGCACTGGTTATAGGTGTGGTTCACACACTCCACCAGCTCTGCAGGTGTCCTGCAGGGCACAACACTGAGCTGGGGGTGGGGTGGGGGGGACAGGGTTGGAAAGCATACTGTGTTAAGCCTTACAATTGTTAAAAGACAACGCATTTCCTAGACAATACAAATTGTCAAAGGTGACCAATAATGAGCAGAAAAGCAGAAACAAAGATCAATATTAAAAGAGAATGTGGCCAGGCCTGCTTCATCAAACCCTTCAGGA